TTCAGTTCCAGAAGAATTGAAATCATCAAAGGCAAATATTTTCTATATAATTGCTGCATTTTATAAATAGCAAACACGATAGTCTTCTTGTGCATCAAAGCAACTGTCAAAAATTTCCAGCAGTAAAAAGTTACGAATTGGTACAGCAGAAATGTAAAATTTTCTCACCATAGTAAAAAGTTTTTCCACCATAGAACTTTTCTATCAATTGGCACAGACCCAAAATAGAAAATTTTGACGGATCAAAGTAAAAATTTGACACTTCTCGTGGTGAATACGAATGTCAAAATTTTACCTAGCTCATGGGGCTAGGTAAAATTTTGACAGCTTATAACCATATATACACATAATATTGCTCGGCGGTAATAAGGAGTGAACATAAAAATGAAAGCTGAAAAGCATAAAAAATGCTTACATTACTTGCAAATTATAAAATAAATAGTGGTATTCATCTAAACCGATAACTTTATCAAGCAGATAATCTTATAAGTTTATGCACTCTGTTACATGAACGACCCACACTCTCTTTTCGTTTACACATGCGACAATAGTCGTGTTTTCTTTGGTTATAAAGCGCAGTGTCACTAACTTTCTACTACTAGCACGGGGATAAAGAAATTATAGAAACTACCTCACTAAATTGGAAAAAATTATATTTACGAGATATCTATTTAAATAAATGCACATATAACATAAAGGCTATTTATTTGAAGCAAGTTATAAGAAACAATGGCGGAATGTCTGTTTGTGTATGAATTCATTTGTCACGGCTACCAAACTTTGCGAATTATCAGTGAAACAAAACAAACAGACGGGATAATAATTGAACCAGATCTCTATCCGGATCATATCGTTGTTGAATTTGCGTGCAAAATTTGTATGCGGATCCCGATTATTGCCTAAGAAAACATAACTAGAGTTGCGACAGAGTTGCATTGTCTTCAGTTTATCAAGTTTATTCAGTGAAATCGCTGGATAAATTTATCAGAAATGTGTAAACGAGTTTCCATACAAATTTTGACAGTTCATTTATAAGGTTTACACAATTATAAGGTTATACGGTTTACAATGCATTTATAAGGTTTGATGAATACCCTTAATATAAATTTTAAGAATTTCAGCAACACACAAAAATAGAGCTTTCGCACGAGCGTTTGTTTAGTTTTTCAACTGTCAAAATTTTACTTTGCATTTGGCACAGCAAAATTCAATTTATTTGTCACCATAGCAAATTTTTCTACCCCGTCTCACCACGGAGAAAAAAGTTACCGATTGGCAAAGGTCCAAAGAATAGTTGCAAGCCGTATTTAACAAGGTAATGTTGGCCATATATAAGTAAAAAATTACACTAACAAATTATACGCTGATGTCCATACTGTATGAGTTACAACAAACACATCATTTTGACGTACTGGCCTCCACGTCGAAAAACTCAGCTGTCGCCCCAACACCACCTTGTTTCATACACCTTGAATAGTACATTCTACCCAAGGTTTACACAGTCAATACTGTCATGACAATGAAGATATACGTATTAGTTGTCAAAATTGTTCCAATGGTAAAGTATGCATGGATTAGTGTATGATCAAACTACACAAGAGCTTTGTTTCTTAACAGATAATTATCACAAATTAACACTAATTTCTGCCGGAAAGCGTTTCTTAACACAAAAAACTAGCAGAAAGTACCAGCTCTCTCTCGTTCTTACGCTCTTCTTTCCATGACTCTCCTGCTACTTTCTGCTATTGAAATTTTTACTAGCAGAAACTAGCAGCTGTCAAAATGGATAAACAAAAATTCTCGCCAAATATTTTCAATAGTCAAATACACCGATCAGCTGATTACTTGCTAGTTTCTGCTAGTTTTGCGTTTCTTAACTTTATGTTATTTCGCTCTCTGTGAGCGTAATTCTTCAAATTTTCTCATTCTTCTTCTTCCTGATAATTATCTGCTCGAAAAGAAA